TAAAGTCGCAAATGCTATTCTTCTAGGCTTGTTTGCGCTTATTTAGCAAGTTTTGTTTTTCGGTCCGTAACAAAGTTTTCTAGATGCACTTCGTATCCGTCTTCTAGAATTTTTACGCATCTGTAGGGAGCGCATTGCGAACTCTCAACATACTGTTATTAATTGAGAGCTTTCTATGCAAACCAACAACTCGAAAGATTCCTTCGACCGAACCCGCTGCCTCCGGCTTGCTAATATCGTGCCTTTACTGACGAGGTTATCTGAAACCCCTGCGAGACGTAAAATACGGAAATCGTTAATTTCGCGATATCAAGACATGAGGGATGCTTGAGAAACTGTTTTGATAACAAAACAGGGTAAGTGTGCTAGTTGTGGTACTGAAGTTTCAGTGTTCGGCCGTAGGGTTAAATCAAATTGGAAATAAATTTTCATGGATCCAATTTCATAGATAATGGTAACATATTTGTTCCAAACTTGTATCGATATAAATTTAGAAAATAATGAAAATATTGGCAATTAAGATAGGGCCAATTAGAGAACCGGTAGGGTCAAAAACTGGCTCACTTTTCCAATTATATTTGTTATTCATTCGTATTCTCCTGAATTGATTTCTTCAGGAATAATGCTACGTAATGTACACACAAGTTTTATACGTCAATCTAATGCTTTATTTTGCTATAAAAATATCACATTGCAATAAAAGTTCATACTTTTTTTGAAAACTCGTCTTCCATTAATAGGAACACTGTTCCAGTAGTAATGATAGTTCCTACCTTTGGTTCATATAATAGTGGAATGCGTTAGGTTCTTATGGATTCAACTATTATAAAAACACTACCACAACTATTAGTGCAAAGTAGTGAAAATCTTACGGAAAATTAATAAATTTCCAACATTTTTTGGGCTAATTTTAAGTTTTAAATATGCAAATATGTTTTATTTTAGGAGAGCTACCGATAAAAATAATCTTATCCGTGTATTACTCCCCATTCCGGCACAACCCCGAAACCGCAACTATAGGTACACCACTATGCCAAGTAACATTTTAAGTTTTATGAAATACTACAAAGCAACTATAAAACAACATTCATAAAACCCTGGTCAAGGCTATTTTATCATTAATGCATCCACCAAAACCTCATTAAGACTAGAATATGTCTAGTTGGCCCACCCTGGAGAAAGTTATGAAGAATGTATTCTCGAAGCTCTCGTACGCATTGAAAACCATTTGAAAGCTATAATATACAATAAAAACCCTTTCCGAGCCATTTCCCCTAGCCGCTCCACTAGGAAAGCATCAATCAAGATAGAAGAGGATTTATGAATCTGAGCTTATCAAAATAATTAAAATAGAAACTGATGGTATAAACATCTTGTGGAATATCCAAATTTATTACAATAGTTCTCATTGTAGTTAAGTGCCTTATTAGATATTATGTGAAATGTACGTGAAAACATCGAAAAAAAATAAATCCGCCCTCGTAAAACGTCGATTTGACTAATTGTGACTAAAACTTAGGCCTACAGGCTGCTTCTGTGCACCACCAATGTAGAGTGCGCTAAGCGATTATGAGAGGAAACGTCAACCAAACCGTTTGTTTACATCAAAATTACATTTTTTACATCTCAAATTAACACATATTGTAATGCGTATCTTGCCTATTTCCATTGTGAAGGGTCTTATTTTATTATTTTTCACATATTTGAACGTAATTACAGCTCAAATAACATTGCATTAAAAGCCGGAATAACCGCTGAGGTAGTTTTATAAATCTTCACTATTCTTAACAAAAATATGTGGAAGCACCAGCTGGATCACTCCAAAATCGATACAGAAAATAAAATATTCCACGTGGATGATGATTACATTAATCATAAAAGGTAAAAACATTTTCCTCTTCCTACACAGCAAAAAAAAATGTAATATCGATCAATATAATTCAAGCTGATGTATGAAATAATGATGTAATAGCAAAAACTAGATACAATATTACATCAATGGATGTAATTCTGTTCGCAAAATCGATGTACATCGTACACAACCGATGGATTGACCTGGTTGCAGCAGTTTGGATGTAATATTCAACAACTTTTTTTTTCTGTGTATGCTTCACGACGAAAATTGCTGCTCTTATCACTCTTTTGAAGGTTCCCTTATTCACCACCAGAGGCTGAAACGATCGCTTAGTTTCTATTGGATTTGCCTATTATTGAATCTGAAAAATTTCTTTGATTGGCCGTTTCGAAAATCGAGTTATTTTTGATGGTTTTTAACTTTTATGCGGAACCTTCCTACACGATTAGTAGCTATCAAGCGGTGCTATAGAATAATATCGAAACCCGATTTGTTTACGTTTTGGAAATAGGCCCATTTCAAATGTTACTCTGCTCATTATGCCACATCGGGGTGCTCATTATTCTTCGAACATCGATTGCTCACGTGGTTTAAGACCACAATCCTAAATCGTTTGTTTTGAACTCAGTTTTTTTTCTCTTTCCAATCAGCTTGTCAATAAATTTCGTAGGGGGAATTGATGTAATGTCGGCCTAAATGTCCCTAATTTGGACCCATACATAAATTCAGCAATCGACTAAATTTTCAATAGCGACCAAAAATATCCATTAGTACCGTCCCAGTAACACGTTCATCTAGTTAAAATTGATAAATAGCAGGTTTTTAGTGATGGGCCCAATCTTAGATCCATAGGCCAACATTAGAGCCATTTCCCCTACAATACTTTTTTTTTAAATCTTTATTTAAGAGATTTTTAGCCATAGGCTAGTTCATCTCTAAACCCTACAATACTGTTACAGTATACGAAAGGAAAATTTATTATTTATTCATTAAATGTGCTATACATTTGTGCCAAAACATCAGCCTTATACATCCCATAAGACAAACCACATAAGCCCTATTAAGAATGCATAAGCGGTATGTGTGACCATTTATGCATTTCATTTAACACATGATCTTCATTCACTTTTTACAAGTTAACATTTGAAAATTGCAGTTATTTGGAATGCCTAATTCCGCAATCAACTTAAGGTGCTCATTATGCCCCTGATCCCCGTATATTTCATTCGTATGAATTGTAAACAAGCGGAATACGAAATGAAATCGAAATTATTATGAAGTTTTTGTTAGATGTTAGTTTTTTTTTCCTTATAAATTAATTATATTAAGAAATTGAAGCAAACATAACTTCATTCGTAGTGCTTGTTTTATTATCATTCAACCAAATTAAACATACCGTGCGTGATACCCGTTCACCGCTCGACCTCCATTCATCGCTCATTTTGTCATAATTTGTTGAAAAAGTTCCCAAAATAAGTTCTAAACATGAGTTTAATCGACTTGTTCACTCGCTATGCCTGCTGATCATATTTAGCCATCGGCACTTTTATTTCACTATTTATTGTCGAAAAACATGAGCGGTGAATGGAGATCCAACAACGATCAAGGGTTCCCTTCACCATTAACTCCAAAAATAAACTTAAAATAGACATTACTACCAATATTTCATAACAAAGGCGAGTGTTCATTCAAATAATATGTACCTTGATAACTTACAAACCATATAGTGCGTTAAATGGCCATCAAAGATAGAGAATTCAAAAAGTAAATATTTCCTTTACGACATGAGCGGTGAATGGGACCCCTGGTTACATGCACTAATATGATTCTAAAAATCAATTTTAACAGCATTGTTTTGGATGAAGCGAAGAAATTGGGTTGTTAGCGGAATGCTTAAATAAAACGGAAAAAAGGTTATCTTCCATTTAATTCAACGTAATTAATTTTGATATCCATGACAGATACGTATTTCGACTACAATGTACAGTCTTCATCAGTGTCATTCCCACTAAAGACTTATCAAAAACCTAACCCCTTAAGTACTCATATCCTAGGTAAAAATGCCAAGATCACAGATTTAAAAATGAAACTACGACGTGTAGAATCGGAACCTATTTAACTAATAAAAACCAAAAAAATAAGTAAATTAAAGAAGAAATAGCTATACAACTCTTGAATAAGCAAAAGCCTGGTGACTTTCATATGATCGCATATCACAGAAACAGTATCTAATAAAATCTATATGACAAATCACATCGAATTCATGTGATCACAATGGAAAATATCTAAACACTTCTATTGGTCTATATTAACGATGTGGGGATAATCTGACAGTTAGACAATATCTGTCACTTTGCTGCAACGGATCAAATCCAGATGCATTGTGCAGTGCACTAGACTGAGACCCAACGAAAACAACTTTCCTAGGTTAAGAGATGAACCAGCTCAGGGCTGAAAGTCTCGATAATAAAGCAAAAGCAGAACTTTCATCGGTTATTCAAGCGTCAAACTTATGCCAACACAGTTTCATTTGCCAGATTTTCGTTTTTTTTTAATTTCCCGATTTATAACTTGAGTTTTAATAATCGAAAAATTTGCGTAAAACTTGTTGATTGATCCACCCGAGTCAGTTCTTGGCAGGATGTTTGCTTCGAATAGTAATTTCTTCAAATTAATAATTAATTTCGAGTATTTGGCACGCCCTGCTAAGGAAAGAAAAACAAATTCTGTAAATTACCTTTACTTACCTGTTCTCAACTTTTCACAAAACAATACTATCGCTTTTTTAAATTCTTCATTCTTCGCCAATGTTGATTTCGAAACCGTGCCTAAAGTGTAACTTTTCATATTTCTCTTAGAATATCTTGTCTCATAAAGGGATATTGAGGTAACGAAAATGTTAGTAAAAAATAAACAAACTAAACCAAAATAAACTAAATAAAAAATTTAAATAAAACTAACAAACATAAGAGCAATGACACAATACTGCTTTGGTTTTTCGCAAAAAGTATGGTTCATTATTGGACTAGTTTGGTAAAATTTACAATAATTTCAACAGCTTAAGATAATACACAAGCTCGTCCTGGTGCACGTACAGCAAAATCCCAACACCGGTAAACCAGAAACAATAAACAAAATAACTTACATTTTCCCACAGCAGGTTGGCAACTTCGTCTAACCGCACACCGAAGTCGCTCAGCTCTCCGCTATATCTGCGAATTGGCAAAAAATAAAACCAATAAACAAGTTAATTAGCGACCATTCCCATCGCAATATTGAACTCCAAGTGGCAACCAACCTAATGTACGCCCACGTGGCCAGTGTCAGCAGCGCAACACCCATGATCAGGTTGGCAAAGTTGGCAAACGTGTACAGGCCGACCAGGCCGAAGATGCCACTGAAGATATACATTACGACGGCGATCGCAAAGTAGACGGCCGGCGTCCGGGCCGCTTTGAAGATATTCTTGCTCTCGTTGTGCGCCCTGAACGTTCCGTACGATTCATCCAGATCAGATTCCAGCTTTTCGCGGTATTTTTCGGAAAACTCTTCGCCGCCCATTTTACGTTTGGAAGAAAACTATCGGGAAATAAATAAAATAATTCTTTTCAATGTAATCTCTGTGTAAGTACGGGGCATTCATACCTGGTGTAGTGCTTTCTCCTTGATCCGATTGTGTTCCGAGTCCAGATGTGCCGTGTTCAGATATGGTTTGTTTCCACCGCAAACGTCCTCCATTAGCTGAGAGTAGATTTCTTTCGCAGCGGCAACTGCCGTCAGATTATTGGCCTCTGCCGTCGCCACCAGCATGCTCTTCGGTTCCGGCAGTTCGTTGCCCTTGTAGATGGCCATGTACGACTTGAAGTACTGCACCAAATCGCGTGCTTTCACCTTTTGGCCGTTGATTTCCTTTGCTATCAGATTATCCGGCGACAACAGCATTGGCACGAGTTCCTTCAGACTCTGCTTGAACTCGGGCGTAATGTCTGCTAGCCGGCCGTCAAACTTCTGATTGGTAGCAACCGTCAGACCGGGGTGTGGCATCAGAAAGCATGCAATTTCCGTGAAGCAGGAGGTAATGTGCCGCCGCAGAGATTGCAGCTCCGGGTGTTGTTTGTCCTGTACTTCCAAGCGCCGCCTCAAGATCACATCGCCACCCGAGGCACCATATTCTGCCTCGTACGGGAAGCTCCAGTCCCGAACCAGAAACTGAAGCCGCTGGAACGGCTTCTTGCCACTGTCGGCCAGTGCCAGACGGCCGTATTCGGTGAACAGCTGGAAGATAATCGAAAAGACGGTAGGTTTTGGGAGGGATGTGCGAGAGCTGGTTGAAGTACCTGCAGGTGCTGAAGGTCATCCTCCTGGATGTTCTGGGAGAGGTTGTAGATCTGCACCGACGAGAGCATTGTGCTGAGGGCGAACACTGTGGCACAGTCCCGCACTGTGCTCTGACTGTCGAACGCGCCCTGGGTGTCCATTAGGATGATGGCCAGCTGAAAGATGTAGGGAGAGACTTTTACTATCTAGTGTAGAGGCAGGATTTAAATCTAAATGTCGTGGTTCAGCCAAGGTCTGTAATTTTCGCCCAACAGCCTCGTTGGTAAAGGCTAGAGACTTCGTTTCCCAGTTCAATCGATTTCGTTGAGAAAATTTCCCGATTACTGGTGTTAACAACTGAGGTAGGGTAAGATGGGGCAAGATGGGTACATTTGTTAATTTATTTGATTATTAAAATCATCAGGTTCAATGCAACCCCAATGATGGTTTGATTTTTCAAACCAGCATTGGGGCTACATTAAGCCTGTCAATGTAGACAATCAATAACATTAATAAATTAGGTAGATGACCCACCTTGCCCAGCTTACCCTACGTAGTGCTCCAAGAACGCTAAATTGATTATACCTTATTACGTTGTTTTTCCTTTTCCTGTTGTATCACTTTCACTTTTTTTTTAATTCACTAGGTATTCACTTTGACTTAAAAAAAACTAAAACAGATACATATTTCGTTCACTACTTGCAAACTTCTATGACTAGACAGTGTAGAACTTTGCAAGTGGTAAACGAAATACGTTTTAGTGAATTAGTGAAAGTGAAAGAGATACATTAGTAGTATAATTAAAAGGAAAACAACGTAATAAGGTATACAATTATTCTTCTAAAACGCAGATCAATCAATTTAGATTAAATTAATGGCAGGCTTAAAGTTCCAGTTGAAACACTGTAACTAATGAAGCAGAAGAAGAAGAAGAAGATCTTATTCATAGCACTCACGGATCAACTCCAGTGATAATTTCTAGGAATTGTGGGAAAATTGTAACAACTTCCTGACATTTTGAAAATTCAACAATACGTTTTGCATACCGTCAGAGATCTTAAGGATCAACAGCAGATATACTGGTCTGGTTCGGAAGATTCGTATGTTAACTTAAAAAGGCTCAACACTACAATGCCAGCGGTTCAACTTACGAGTGTTAGTTAGTCAACATAAATACAAGTTCAGCAGAGCACAATCGTAATAACATTCTTCTTGGGTCCCTGAACATTTAACGTCATGTTCTGAGTACTTTACGTATATGTCTTCTGCTCTAGACTAAAAAGTCCACGAGAGATAACTGACTAGAATATCTGAGACTCCCTGATATCTGATATAGACCATAAGAGCCGTTCAGTTCATTGACATTCCGCCATTAGGCTTCCTAACTGTTGACAATTCTTTGAAGTTAACCCAGAAATCCTCTATAATAGACTAACAAGTCCTGTAAAGTTATTATTAAAGAGCATAAGAGATTGTCTACAAATCATCTATTATAGATTTACTATACTAGAGTTGATCAATAACTCCGGTCAACTAGACTTCCATGCCATCAGATGGTGACGCTGAATATACAATTCCCTTTAAGAGAGCAAAGAGTGCGGTAGCGTTTGCCTTCCTTTTGCTTTGCTTTCTTCGATACGGTCATCAGTCGGGTCGATCGCTTTTGTGTATCGTGTCTCGGTTGGTACCTTTTGCTATCGACGTTGGAAAGAAAAAAACTTCAAAATGATGGAAGTGAAAAATACAATTCGACAGTGAGCATGCATAAGGGCCTATACGCGATGATCGATTCTCTTCGTCGATTTTCTCTTTTGTTAATAACTCGCTAGATTTAACGTTTCTCGGTGCGTTTGCTGTTGCTTTTGATAGCCAATACAACCTTTTACTACTCTACATTGAACAAATTCTAGAAAATTGTTTCACTTAGCTGTAGCAATGCAAAGAGAAAATCGATGAAGAGAATCGATCATCGCGTATAGACCCTTATGCATGCTCACTGTCGAATTGGATTTGACTTTCCCAATGGAAGTGCGAATCCCACCATGGATTGAATTGTTAATTTTGTAAAGGCACTGGATGTGGATCCCGTTGAGATGGAAGCAACGTACCGGATTACATAACATACCCCAGAGCAATTATTTTCCGTTATGCTGATGGAGCCACTGCCTTTCCATCAGCATAACGGAAAATTAAATGCTCCGCGTTATTCAGCAACGTATACGCATGTCGCCTGCAATGAAGGCAATGTTCAATACGACTTAGTTTATGATCCTCAGCTAGGAATTTGATGTCTTCAGCAAAGTTTCTTAAAATATCATTTGGTACAACTTTCCCAAAAATACTAAGTGTCTATTCTATCTCCGCCGAAAGTCGACTGATACGAACACCACCAACAAGCAACGAAGAAGGAGACCATCAATAGGCTACAACAGCCACCAATCAGCGACGACCACATCAACGCTCGCCGCTTTAAAAGAGACATGCATCACCGTGCAAACAAATTTGAAATTTAAAACAAACCAATCCCACCAAGGTGGTCATTCTTAAAACAGGCCTGATAGAACTAGGAACTGTAATTAATAATAATTGAAATTTCAAAAGAACTAAAGTTGAAAAGACGCACCAGTGTCACTTGATAAGTAATACACGTAAACCACACAAATACAAGAAGGGGGCGAGCCCGGCGTAGTGGTTAGCATCCATACCTCTCACGCCAAAGTCACGAGTTCAAATCTCACCCCCCGGACAAGTCACGAATGACCCAAGAGCAAGAATGTATTTTAAACGGTGTCCCCAAACTTATGATCGGGAGTGTCTTACTGTCACTGGACGTATAAGTGTCCCATGTGTATATGAAATTCCATAGCACATGGGACACTTATACGTCCACCAGCAGCATAGTCATCATACGGTTTTTCTATAAATACAATGTTCTACGGCAAATTACATTTCCTTTACGGCGTTTGCATACTATTGCAGGAACATAAGTCAACCGGTCATGAACTGGTTTTGGGGAAGATCCAAACTTCCCCAGATCAATTTATTACCGAATGACTTCCCGAGCAAAGTCGGTTAACAAAATGAAAGCAATTCGATTTTAAAGTTTGCTGTTGTCATAATGAAAACACATTTTGATTTTAATTGTCGCGAATAAGTCTGATTACATTTTGTGCTTTTAGCTTCTTTCAGGTGTTTCAGCAACTTAACTTCAAGTTCTGCTGTTAACGTCTTCTTTAAAATTGAACTAACGATTATTGTCTAATTGTTTTGTTGAACACATTTTAGGTCACTCGTGACTTAAGCCAGACCCGTATTCAGTTAAATATTATGAATGCAAAATCAGTAATTGATTTCATTGATAGCAGAATTAGTTTTCCATTTGATTCAACAGTTTAAAATTTTGCTCCCATATTTGCTGTGTTAACCGTTAAATCAACCAAAATGAGATAAACTGGAGTATGCAAAATAAGTTACATCATAACAGCAAATTTTGATTTCAATTTGATCTCTAGCTTTGCTCGGATTATGTGCCTGCAACAGGTCGACTACTGCTAGGTTCACCAAAGGCTGCCTACCTTTTCTCCATTCGATGTTTCGTGCAGAAAGATATCTGACCACATCAGAATGCCGGTTGTGTCACGTTCGCTGCCACCCCGCCACGAGAATCCTGTCAGCGGTTCATTCTCGTCCCCAAGCCATTCCGAGGCGCTCTGATGGTGAACGTACTGTTGATGGGAATGGTAAAAAAAGCTAATTTACAACATCAATTGCCAATAACATATGATCGCCTTACCCTCGAGTACATATATCGCAAGAAGAAGTCCAGCAGAAAACTTTTGCCCTTCCGGAAGGCACCGGCAACCGAGATGACGACGACTGTCCGGTCCCGTACATTTTCCTGCAGCAGAATCTCCGTCAGTGCATCCTCGTTCAGTGCAAACGTGTGCTCTTCACCGGTTTCGACCACCTGTACCGGTTTCGCTGTGGCCATGGTCTGTCGCTATGTCTGTGGTCTAGATACCGGGCACGGTGTGCCTAATTCCGCAATCTTGCTCGCTTAATAGCTACTTCGGTAGAGCTCACTCTCGCTCCAATCTGCAAACCTGTTGACGAGCATAAAAAAGAAGGCAAAATGTGTAAAATTAGTTTTAAACGAAAATGAAAATTCCTCATTATGAATGAGATGCCACCGGAGGATTGCTCTGACCCCCAGACACGATCGAGGTGGTTATGCCATACCACCAGCCATGCCAACGAAAAACGAGATGAGATCGCTGGCTTTGCGAATAGCGCAGTAATTTCTTCACTTTTCAATCAATCTCACACATTCACACCGACGGAGACACCCCGGGACGCTGAACGATGCGCGGTAAAGCTACCTACGATGGACAAAAGAGGTACGATTGCAGTGCAGTGGCGCTGTTGGAAAGTGGGTATATCAAGGTCGTTTCTGCTATTATGGCTTGATTTGTAAACACGCATCGTGTTGGATCGCGGTTACAGTGGTTGCGGTGACGGACGCGGGAAACTATCACCGCACCAATACCAATAGGACACCCATACCCGATGTGCTCAAGTGGATCAATCAAGGTCCGGTATATGGTTAGCGCAGATGGAACTACTTGAAGTCAATCCAAATCAGTTCTAACGAATAAATTCAATTCAAGTCAATTCCATATTCAAGTCATAAATCAGAATGTACCTCACACGCCCAACCCACACCGTTAATTCGGATAAGCATTCAACTCGTTTCGTTTGTGTGTGCACCGAAAAAAAAAAACATAATTCAATAACTGCAAATTGCGGAATGCATCTCGCGAATCGGGCGTATCAACAAGATGTTCAGTTGATGATCGCTTCGTGAAACAACAACAACAACAACATCAAGCAGAGAGGCAAAAAGGGGCGGCTGCTGTAGCTGCTTCCTTAACTCGGTGATGCGCCGCTAAAAATAAGAATTAAATAACTGTTCTTGCCATCTTTCGTGTAGTAGATATACAGATATGAGAAGACAAGAGTCTATAACCGGTAGATTCGAGTGTTTATTTCTAAACGCTCTCGATATTCTCTAGGAGGTAGGGGAGACGAAACTTGCCACTCAACAAGGAATGATCATGCCTGGCCATCGATCATCAGACAGCTGGGCAAATGGTCGATGCCGTCATACATGTTTGTGTGTGTGTACGTTGCAGCTACATCTTACAAAGAAACGAAACTGTTAAAAATTGTTTGAATATTAAAAAAAGAATTCTCAGATTTCCTTATGTCAACCAGGGTTGCTTCCACTCACTTGCTATAAAAAAATATTTTTCTAAATTATGCAATCATTAGATGTTATAATGATATGTTGTACTAGTAAGTAACAAGAAGAGGATGTATAGTATGTGTTTGACTCAAAAAAACCTGTCAATTTCGCTTTCAGAGCGTCACAATCAGCGATTTTATGATTCGTGAACGTTCACTCAGAGTGAGCGCTCACGAGTCGTAAAATCGCTGATTGTGACGCACTGAAAGCAATATTGACAGATTTTATGTGTCAAACCTATACTTCATGACATCTTCTTGTAACTTACAAGTAATAATTAGCATTATACTATTTCATGGTTTCATTATTCCGAAAAACATTTTTTTATAGCAAGTGAGTGGAAGTAACCCTGATGTCAACACAATCGAGGCAAGGTGTAGGTTCTGCATAATCCACTAATTATTTACCGTTAATACAAAGTTGATTGAAACTTCTGTGCTTCGGACTGAACTCCTGTTTGGTACTTTTCTTAGTTGCTAGCCTAGGTACCATGGGGACCGAAATCCGTACACCTAAGAAATGATTAAAAATCCGTACATTTAATACAAAACTCTTAATTTGTGTCTGAGGAGAACGCATTTTGATGCTGTACAGATTTGGTACTTGTTTACTTTATGAACCACGATGAAGCAAAATTAATTAAACTGTCATGAGAACCAACTGAATTGAGCATAGTTAGGAAATGTACAATGTTATGCAAATTAATATGCCATACCATAAACCATGCAATCCGTTCGAGACAACTTGTGTCTATAGTTCCTCGAGTACTCCACACTTTCTAGATCTTGCGAAGGATCTAATAAGATTTTCATGATACAAGAACAGTTTTGATAACCGCAGTTCACCGCACGATATACTGTTAAACCGATCTTCTGCGCAGTAAGCAAAAACGGTCACTCTAACGCCATGGAGCCCCTCATAGTGCAATACTTTACTTATGATCGAGTTGTTGTTGTATTCATACAAAATCCAACGAGGATTGTAAGTGTTGCAACACAACACAACAACACACAACCAGTAAACATTGCCACATATGAGTATTTGGGTCGAAAATCTGGCTAAAATTGTGTTTTGAACGGCCGTTTGGTGTGGTCGAACGCCGTTTAGCCGAATACTTTAGACGAATTCATAAATGTTCGAACAATTTTTATGATAATTTGAACTATTTTTATGACAATTTGAACATACTTGTACTTCTATTAAGTTTAACGAAGTTCATCGCATTCCTACGTAATACACTAAACTTTTACAAAGTTTGCTGAGCTATTATGAAGCTCGCTGCACATCTACGAAGCGCCTAGAAATTTTATGAAATGCGTTGATTTTCTGCAAAGAGCTCTTCTGTTTTACTGAGATTTAATGAAATTTCCTGAAATTAAACCCCTCAACATCAAGGCCTAAAACAACAACTAAAACAAGCTGCCGGAACTTTTATTAAAGTTGCTAAATTAAACACCTTAACATCAAGGTCATGAAGTTAAAACTGGGTCCCAGAACATTTATGAAGTTTCTTGATGTTAATTCCCTTAACATCAACGAAGTTTTCAAGACTATTACAAAGTACCTACTTCTGCGAAGTTTTTCCGATTTTTTACAAAGCTCCTCCAATTTACATGAAGTTCACTGAAGCTCTACAACGTGTCCAGTATTTCTATTAAAGTCCCTGATGTTATACGAAATGCAATGAAGATTAAGAAAAATCCATGAGCTTCAACTGTTTAACACACCTTCCTCCCGCCTGCAAATTGCGATGAAGAGGTGCAGAGATGTGAAGACATTTCGTAGATCTCGCCGAGGATTTTTTTTTCTTTCAAATACTCCTGCCAACCCTGCCCAATGTGCAAAACTGTCAGGATAAAAATGTGATTTTCATATGAATATGAACAGCCATCTGCCTCATAATTCACTGCCTCGTGAGAGTCTGAATCATTGTGAAGTAAACAAGTCACTGACAGCAGAGCACTCAGTCAGCACGTTTATTATTCCGCGATGGTACCCAATTCTTGTTTTGAAAGGATGAGCGAACATTGTATATGGAAAAATGACTCAATGACATGCTGTGTGAGCGAAGGCAAGCGGTATGAGACGCCTATTCGTAACTTAATGTTTTCGGTGGCTCTTTCATTGTCTCATTCTTTACCGTTCGATACAAACGGTCTGGATAGAGCAATGAACTGAATAGTCAATAAATTTACGCCCTGGCTCTGACATAATTTAGGGGCTGCATGGGAAAAAAAATCAAGGAAATGCTAGATATAATCATAAGATTATTCAGGGGAATCGTCTAAGCAACTCTGAAGACATCTTTTTAAAAAATTTGATAGTTTGTTTATGATAAGGAATCTTGTAAAAATTAACAAATATACCTACAAAGGTAATTGAGGAATCGATTTTAAATTTGGAAACTACGATTCGTTTTATTGCCTAGAAAACATGCTTTCAAAATATTTATTATCCCAGTCTACTAAGGTAAAACCACATCAAGACTGTCAAGTGTCAGAAACTAAGACTTTTTACCATTATCCATTCCTGACCAAGGAAAATTACGCCGTTTAGTTGAGTGTTTCACCTCTGAACATTAAAAATCAGTTTGCATACGCAAGTAGAGCAAAGTACAATAAGCAGAACGTATAGTTAACAGAATTCGATCAAAATATATACAAATATATTTTAAGAATGCAAACAATTTCGTGGTAATTTTCCGGCTGATTTCGATTCACGGTTCATTGCTGGTTTTCCTGATTTAGTGGCCACCCTGAATTCCACACTTTCTTATTATTACCATTAAATTCGATAGGATTTTTTGACGTAGGACTACGCCTGTGATTTCTATATGGGGGTACACGTTGTGAAAACCGAAAATGGAACATGTAACAAAATTATGAAAGATTTTGAACGTTAATAACTCAGCTGCCCCTGGACAAATTTCAATAATTTTATCACCAATCGATCAGAAATGCATCTGTTAAATTTAAGACTTTATAATTTTTCAAAATGTCACTATTGAAAATTGCACGAATGTGCAATTCTTCCTTTGATAATTAAAATTATCACCGATTGCCTGCGAAAAGTGATTTCCCTAACACAGATTTCAAAGTTAAATTCCATCCGGTCTCACCAAACGGTGTTTATTCAATCACCGCGTGGTGAGTGGTGGAAGAGGCTCCCCGAAAGCAGCTGCTACCAAGGCTGGCCTCAACCGCTGATCGGATTCAGTTCCAATCACCGTGTGTAGTCGTCGGCATCAGCTGCAGCAGCAGCAAATGCTTTCGGCGCGTGGCGTTGAACATTGTTTCCCAGTATACAACGAAAGGCTGCCTGCAAGCAGTGAGCTGCAGCCCACATGAGCATCCATAGAAGGAGGAAGAAGCCGCACCGCTATTGATCGGAATCAGTAGCTCTTCGTGAGTCAGTGTGGGCCATCTATGCCAAGCGCGTCACCCTCATTCCAAACAACATACAGCCCACCAGCCTCATCTGTGTTTAATACCCTAATAGTTCAACATTACTCATCATCACGACAAAACGGTTCTTTTTAGGACCACCATAAATTTGTAAAATAGTATTTTTTGGACATTTGTCAAGGTCATCAAGGTGTCAGTTCCCATATCAAGATATAGCTGGAATTATGGCGTAACAGCTTTTGTAAACAATGACTTCTTTCGATGATGTCTTGAAAGTGCAGGCTCGCCTTCGCAAATCAACATCACCATCAGGTAGGGTGAGACTTCCCCTACCCGACGGTAATGTTGGTTTGCGTGGGCCTGCCTTGAATTCATAAAAAATCATCGAGAGAAG